ATTAAATATGTAATATAATGGATACACTTGTATTTAATTTACATAATATATACACATACTTATATATCAATGTGTGTGTGTGTATGTATGTACATAAATTTAATGAGGAACTTTTTTCCATTACTTTTCACACAGGCACACGACGCGCACAGGCCAAGCACCAACCTTTCTCGTCAGCAGCGGATACAATTCTGCGCGCTGTGAACTTAGATGACTCTTGGCTCTGTACAGCCGAAGCTCGCCTTCGAGCTTTTTCGGAATGCTAGGGGCCTGGCATGACAGGCGAAGCTTGTAATTCATTAAAACTGGCGCCAAAACTGCAACGAGAAGACAAGAGTAGCATGTATGTGTGTGTGTGTGTTTCTTTTTATATGTTTGAGTGTTGCTTATTTAGTGATCCGTTCACGTGGCGTATGGAATAAAAGAAATAATTTTCCATTGCATAACTTTGTACAAAACTGTTTTCGCTCGATTGTGTTTAATTGTAGCATACTTTCAGGTATGTATTTATATATATTCCTAATAATAAAAATGAAGCAAAATGCAATGATTATCAGCGAAAAATATCAACATAATGGCTTCATTCATTTATTTCTTTGTTAAAGTATTCGTGTTCTTTTTTAAATTTTAACTGTCGCATGGTGAGAACCAGTTGTAGGTTGGGAAGCCGCGAACTCTTAGCTACTGCATCCCTGAACTGATATCGAGCCATCGATTTTTAAATTCGATAACCAAAACAGTCGGGACGTGACTTCTGAAAAATAGGTTGCTCCGATTTGACAATCACACACAAATTTCTTACATTAGGTAACAGAAAGTACGACGAACAGTTACCAGTTACACTATGACCACAGCCGTGCTCGGTGCCGGCCTTAGTGGGCTATCAGCCGGCTATTACCTGTTGCGACGTTTCGGCAAACCTTTGACCATTTACGAAGCATCTCCACGCGTCGGCGGTTGGATACGCACCGAAGGGCACAAGGATCGGGGCTTCCTGTTCGAAGGTGGACCGCGAACAATACGCCCCAAAGGCGTAGCGGGTGCCAACACACTCGAGCTGATAGAAGAACTCGACCTGCCCATTCACCCCATTCCCAGCTCCCATGTGGCTGCAAAGAATCGCATGCTCTATGCCAAGGGACAAGTGTGCATGCTGCCAAACAGTCCCAAGGGCCTAATCCGCACAGTCCCACCTTTTACGAAGCCTTTGTATAGAGCTCTGCTCCATGACTTGTTTACGGGCAGCACTCTGGCCAAGAATGAGGACGAATCTATTTACAGCTTTACCAAAAGGCGATTCGGCAAGGAGATAGCCGATTATGCCATCAGCCCGATGATCTGTGGTATTTGTGCCGGCGACGCTCACGAAATCAGCGTGCGATTTCTCATGGAGACTCTCTTTGAGAACGAGCAGAAGTACGGTGGAGTGCTGAAGGGTGCCTTCTACGCCCGTTTCAAGGACAAAGTGGACGAGAAGAAACCGGGCTTATTTGCCAGGGGCGAGCCCAAGCTTTTCCAGCAGGCCACCAAGGAGAAGTGGGCCATGTATGGCGTCGAGGACGGCCTGGAACAGCTGCCCCGCGCTATGCGTAAATATCTAGGCGAACACGATGTGAATGTGCAGTTGAGCAGCAAATGCTCCAATCTAACCTTTAGCAGCGACGGTGCACGGATTAGCCTGCGCGACGCCGAAGTGCCGGTGAGACACGTGATAAGCGCTCTGCCAGCACACCAATTGGCGGCGGTGGTGAGGGCGCAGCATCCATCCCTGGCAGCCCAATTGTTGGAAATACCCTACGTGGACGTGGTGGTGGTCAACATCCAGTACAACAGTGACCAACTGCTGAAGCACAATGGCTTCGGCCTGCTGGTGCCGCCCGTTGAGAAGCTGCCCATACTCGGAGTGATCTTCGACAGCTGCTGCTTCGACATGGCGGGCAACACGATCCTCACCGTTATGATGGGCGGTCGCTGGTTCGACCAGTGGTTCGGCAACCAGCCGAGTCAGAAGAAGCTGCGCGACATTGCCCACCAGCACGTCCGTCAGATCCTGCAGATCAAGGAGGAGCCCGTGTTCAGCCGGGTGCACATGCTCCACAAATGCATTCCCCAGTACACAGTGGGTCACAAGCGACGCGTGGAAAACATTAGGAAGTACATCAAGGACTACAAACTGCCTTTATCCCTGTGTGGCGCAGCCTACGATGGCGTGGGCATCAACGATGTCATCTTGTCTGCGCGCAGACAGGTGGAGGAGCTGCCATCGCCGTCGGAACCTTGAACTGAAATTCACATATTTCCATTCAATAATTATTCTTTGTATATATTTGCAATTGTAACTGTGATTCGACTGATTTTCTCTATGCACATAAACTTCCCGAAATTCCCCGTCTACAACAGCCGTTTATTTGCCAAAGCCACCCAAGCAGGGCGGACTCTTCTCCGGCTCCTGCTCAGGCTCCCATTGCTTCGGTGTTTTCGCCTCGATCGAGAGCGCGTGCATAAACTCGAACCCAGCCTCCTTTAGCGCCGTCTTTATTGTGTCATTTACCAGTCGATGGCGCTGCAAGGAAAACCAAAGTTAGCTCCATCTCAATATCCTTTTCTGGTCCTCAGCTTACCTTTATCAGCGTCAAATCATTGAACTTCTCGGAGACAACGAGTACACGGAAATGTGATTCCGCCTGTTTCGGCGTGTTGTGCATGGGCGATTCATTGCTCACATCCAAAAATATCGGCTTCAGCTGCTCTGTTAGCGCCTTCCTCATCGCCGTTTCTATGGGCGGATATTGCGGCTCTTGAGACTGTGACATGTTTGCTTGTAAGCTCCTATTGGCTACTACGGTACTTCCACTAAGTAGTTGATTCACTTTTTGCGCTGAAATTCGAACGGACTGGCGCAACGTTAAGCCGAACATGTTTCTAATATTCTCGCACAGCTGTTGCACAATTACATAAACAAAATGCTATGCGGCCTACGCGAAAGCCGAAATGAACCAGTTCGGCTCAGTTCACGATAGTTGCACGTTAATTTGAAACAAATGTACCGACAGGAATTTCACATCTAAAAAATACTAACCAACTCCAGTGAATTTGCTGTGACATCCAAATCAAATATTAAAATATTTAAATATAATTTGAGTCATAAAAACGGATGTTCAAATTACCATTTATTCAGTTAAATAGAGACTGGAATCATGCACGTATTGCTTGTAACACTTTTTTTTTTGCAGACAACATTTTTCGAAGTTCAAAAACAATTCAAATTCTTATGCATTTGTTTAATTGAGCATAAGCGTCAACAAATACATTCAACGATGCATAAAGCCATAGAAAAATATGCCTATACCTAAAACAAACGATGCGCGGCCATAACCAATCATATCATATCAATCATAATATCGCGTTTTCCTATTCTTTAGTATACGTTGGTCCACATCAATAGTCGACCAGCTTCTTAAGCTTGGGTGGCGCGGATATGACCACTCGTCCCCGATTTCCGCTACCAGAGCCACTGCCACTGCCATGAGCCTGAGCCTCTTCTCGAGCGCTGTGCGTGCGTTCGTAGTGCTGCTGCCTGTATCGTTCCCGGTCACGAGCTCTCTCCAGGCTATGCTCACGCTGGCGACGACGTCGTGACTGGGACTGGCTGCGTCGACTTCGGGAGCGTCTGCGCTCACGACTGCCGCTGCGACGACGACTGTGAGACCTGCGCTTACGCTCGATTGGCCGACTGTTGCTTCGTCTACTGCGAGAGCGGGATCGTTGTCTTCGACTCCGACTGGGACTGCGGGATCTGCGCTTTCTCTGCACGCGACTAGTGCTGCGTCGGCTTCGGGAACGCGATCGATGTCTCTTAGTTCGACTGTGACTGCCGCTGCGAGATCTGCTGCGACGGGCCGACGCTTTGGTAGTGCGCGCTGGAGCTTCCGAGTCAGCCGAATCAACGTCGCTGTCGGAGAGCTTGCCACTGGACGGCGTGCCGTATTTGTGGCGCAACTCTCGCCGCCTGTGAATAAAGAGATGTGAGAGGGCTTCACTAGAGCCACCCACAACTGATTACTCACCTGCGCCGCAGCTTGAGCGCCAGCTCGCGCATCTCGTCCTCGCGCTCCTGCTGCAGTTGTCGCTCCCTCTCCGTCTTCTCGATCTCCGCCCGCTTGTCGGCCTTATCTGGAATTGGAAACGGAACGATGTAGTACTTGCTCCTCGATGGCCACTCTATTCATCTTTGAACTTCACACTACACTCTCGCCGGCTTACATTGCCTGTTCAGCAGGTTTTGCATCTTGCGCTTAAGCCGCTCTCGCAAATTGGGTCGTCCACTGCCGCTCGCCTGTCCAGAGCCCTGTAAAAGTCACCAACCACAGCATTTAATATAATCATAGGGCCAAAACAGGATGGAGAAGTTGGAGTCAGTTCTGGTATCAGTCGAAAGTGTCGTTGCGTAAAAACTTGGCAACAATTAAGCAAAAACTTGATTAAAGAAATTAAAATTTCCTGCTGCCTTTTTGGACAGATTTCAAATAACTTAAATATTACAAATTAATGTAGAGCAAAGAAATTGGTAGACACAGATGAAAGCTAAATACAATCCAATTAATTATAATTATTATTAATTATAGTAACGATTGTATCAGACAAATTTGTAAGTTCTAAGCCAGAACGAAAAGAAACAAAACCTGGTATAAAGTCTATTTTTATCGATCGAATCAATGGAACACAATATTTCGGGAAATTCCAATATTCCGATATACAAAGCTCTTACTAAGCGCTTCTTTTTCAATAATTGATAATATTCAAATAATTTCATTGATATCAAATAAATCTGGCTAAAAATCGATTTTGATCAATTGCAAATTAAAGAAACTAATATTTTGAATATACAAAAATAAATTTTGTTAATCTGAACTCTCTATCTTTCGACTTTGCGTGCGGATGAGCCTACGGACAGGCGGATATTTAAATATAGCTATGTCTATATCGGATATATTTTTTAAAAGACATTCAAGTATGGTAAAGTCCATTATTGGGCAAAATATATATACATATAT